CACCAGGATCCCTTTGTGAAGTACTAAAGCTACACATCCCATCCTACAAGCTCTGAAGTGCAGTAGGAGGGGTCCAGCTGTCTTGAGCAATAAGTGTCAGGGTGTTCCTGGGAGTTGATTACAAAATGGGAAACTATTGATTTCCTTCCCCACTGAAAATTCCATAGTTTCTCAGAAAAGCAGGGCATTGTTCTCACAATGGATCCAAAAATCCAGAATGGATACAGTAATCTTATATGTATGATCTGTTTGGAATTGTTTACATGTGTGTATTAAATAATGATATGCTAAGCAATTTCTTTACATTATTTTCTTTAGGTCAAGTAATTAATACGATATGGACAAGCAACCAGCCAATCAGTTGCCAGAGTCAAATTTGACTCCTGGAGACCTATGTGTGCCAGAATCGAACTGTGCTCCTTTGGGTTTTCAACACTATGACCTTCGAAAGCAGACTGCCACGCCTTTCTTCAAAGGCACCTTTGGAGGATCCAAACCACCAACCTTCTGGTTAGTCATCAAGCACTTAACTGTCATTCATTTTTTTAGCAGACTTCCATATTTCCTAATACTATTTTAAACCCAGTTTGGAGTTCCTCATATTTCAAAGATTCAAGAAGAAATATATTGTTTCCAAGCATCATCATCATCATCATCATTTTGTATCCTCTAGCTGAAATTCTAGCTTGTTTTTGTTTGACCCTTTTGGTATAAACCAGGCATTATTAATAATTTTTTTAAAAATTAAAAATCCATGTTATATGAGGACAAGGAAAACAGTATGCTACTCGGGTTCCAATTCATGTATGCATGAATTAATTCCCAAGAAAACACGATTAACGTGTCTCTGTGATCAGTGGATGGCTGCAGACAGGTCCTTTCAGCAATACCCTTGTGTTGGTCTCATTAGGCTTGCTTCAAAATAAAAGTCCAATCAAAGCAGTGGGTTCTCAGGGCCTCTGTGGGCCAGTTAAATGCAAGGAAGCGAGGTTGGCTCAGAAGGTTATGGCAACTGTAATTAGGAATCTTAAAGGGATGATCTAAATAGATTATCTCATAGGATACAGGATGATCATGAGATCTTACTACTAAGAAGTTTTAAGAAAACGGAAAGTGCATTGATGGGGAAAAGCTGGAAAAGTTGCACCGAAGAAATTTTTTATTCAAAATGACACCACACCTGTTAATTCTCCAGTGGTTAAAAAAAAAAAGGCTCTCCTGTGAGAATGTGTCTACTCTACTCACCGTCAGCCCTGCTCTTTCCCCTTCAGATTTCTTTTTGTTTCAAAATGCAGAGAGCATTTGTTTTAAAGGAACATGATTTGACTTCCTCCAGGATGCCAAAACTGCATGTGGATCTGTGCAAACTGAAGAGTAAAGAATTCTACAGAACTGTATAGACCACGATGGAGGATCATTCCAGGAACAATAACTTCACAATTGGTTTGATAAAGGCTTCTATGATTTGGGTATAAGGAACACCGTGAAGAGGAATTGATGCATTTGGAGTATGGTGCTGGCAGACTGTTGATGGTACTTTAGCAGTTCCATCAACCGCTAAAAGAACAAATAGAGCTATCTTGGAAGAAATACAACCAAGATGCTCCTTAGAAGCAAGGATGGGATAAGACTTTGTTTTAAAGAGAGACTAGGCCCTGGAAAAGGACATCATGCTTAGCAGAGCAGAGGGGCAGCAAAAAAGTGAAAGCTCATTGACAAGATGGAATGACAGAATGAGGGGGACAATGGGCTCAAATGTAACAAAACTGTGAGCAGGAGCAGGCGGTGTTTTGTCCTCGTGTAGGAATGAATCGATTGGAAATAACTCGACCACACTTAACAAAATGATTTTGCAGAAATATTTTTTATTTACCCTCACGTAATATAGGTGATAAAATATAGTACATAAACAAAACTAATAACATTTACCAGATGCTATGTTAAGGATTAGAGGTGGATTATTTCATTTAATATATCCCCAAGTCTATGAAATCATACACTATTATAATCTCCTCTTCAAGTTGAATTAAGCAGGCCCAGAGAAGTATCTTGCAAAGGACAATAAAGCTAATATAAGGGAGAGAGAAGGCTTCAAAAAGTTCATGGAAAAGTTCCCTTATCTTTTAATTTCATTTTTCCACCAATATTTGAAACTCCCTTATAAATGGTAGAGCTGAGACTCGAACCCAGTCCAAATTTAGTCTCGCTTTCTTTTGCTCTCCTTTAAATACTATGCTTAATGCAGTAGGCATAACAGCAGAAATACACTAAGTTAGCGCCAAAGAATGTTAGAAAATTCCTAATTTTTGTATTATATTAAATATAATAGTTTATATTTAAATTAAAGTACAGACTACGTATTTAATATTTTACATTATCCTCTTCATATTAAATCAAATCGATTCAGAAATATAAAATAATAATAATATCATTCAACTTTGAATGCTTCATCTATTCAGACTCACAATTATGGACAGGTTCCCATAACAATGCTCTCAACTCTGAAAGAACAATTCTTAGAAAAAGTCAAAGACGTAAAATGCATAAAAGGTACACATAATGGAAGCCTAATTTTAAAAATTCTGTCACAGAGGTTCTTTTAACAAATATGGGAAGACGACACAATTGCTGAAGAAAAATGTGAGCATAAGCAAATATGGTGAAGAAAACTGATGGTGCCTGGCTATCAAAAGATATAGCATCTGGGGTCTTAAAGGCTTGAAGATAAACAAGCAGCCATCTAGCTGAGAAGCATCAAAGCCCACATGGAAGAAGCACACCAGCCTGTCTGATCACGAGGTGCAGAAGGGACCAGTTATCAGACATCGAAGAACTAAAAATCATATCAGTGGGTGCCCACCTTACTGACACGACCACTAAAGACAACCGTGTGCATAAGCAAATGTGGGGAAGATGAAGAAAGCTAATGGTGCCCGGCTATCAAAAGATATAGCGTCTGGGGTCTTAAAGGCTTGAAGATAAACAAGCAGCCAACTAGCTCAGAAGCAACAAAGCCCACATAGAAGAAGCATACCAGCCTGTGTGACCACAAGCTGTCGAAGGGATCAGGTATCAAGCATCAAAGAACAAAAAATCATATCACTGGAAATGTGGGTGAGTGCAGAGTGGAGACTCAAAGCCCATCAGGAGGCAACAGGACACCCCCTTACTGAAGGGTTGTGGGGAGGAGATGAGCCAGTCAGGGTGCAGGGTAGCAATGATGAAATATATACCTTTCCTCTAGTTCTTAAATGCTTCTTCCCCCCCACTATCATGATCCCAATTCAACCTTACAAATCTGGCTAGACCAGAGGATGTACATTGGTACAGATAGGAACTGGAAACACAGGGAATCCAGGAGAGATAACTCCTTCAGGACCAGTGGTGAGAAGGGTGATGCCTGGAGGATGGAGGGCATGTGGGGTAGAAAGGGGAAACTGATTACAAGAGTCCAAATATAACCTCCTCCCTAGGGGGGGGGATGGACAGCAGAGAAGAGGGCGGTGGGGAGATACGTTGGACAGTGTAACATATGACAAAATAATAATAATTTATGAATTATGAAGAGTTCATGAGAGAAGGGGAAAGGGGGAGGGAGGGGGGGAAATGAGCAGCCGATATTAAGGGCTCAAGTCGAAGGCAAATGTTTTGAGAATGATGATGGCAACAAATGTACATATGTGCTGGACACAATGGATGTATGTATGGATTGTGATAAGAATTGTATGAGCCCCCAATAAAATGATTAAAAAATATATATGGGAAAAAATTCATGATGAATTTCATAGTTGGTTGTATAGCTAGAATGTAAATTACCGCCTGACCTGAGGACACATAGTGGAGTCCTGTAAAGCAATCTTTCTATATCCTAGGAAAAGCAGCATCGATGGACACCATTTCAGTGATCTTACAATGCAGACAAAACAAGGAATATGGAGAATGATGCACGGGATTTATCTTTCCTTAATTGGTTGTGCCAAACTGACCTACTCACTACAGAAGACACACTCCATATTAAAATGTTTAGATATAATTCCTTTGCACATTTATTTTACTAACTTTATGTACAGATGCTGTTTAATTTTTTTATTCTTCTCCAGAATGTATAAAATACATTCTGTAATCCCCAATTTCAATTGCATTAAACAAGTTCAAAATACACTATATGAATTAATTAATTTTACTAAGATGATCTTTTAATAAGACATTTTAAATGAAATTGTATTCCTTTTCAAAACCAGTACTAGAAGGAAAAATATCTCAGGTTCTTATAAAACAAATGACTACAATAACAACACTCACTACTCAGAAAATGGCAGAAAAATAAAATCAAATAAAATAGCAAGCATAAACAAATACAAGGTAACAAGTCAAAAGAACCAGGAGCTACTAACACTTCCAAAACATTTACATTTTCTAAAGATAGCTCATTCTTTGTATATGCACCAAAAGTCCTAACATAGTAAGGGTGGTTAAAATTGGGTGATGAAATCATAAGTTGCATATTGTCAGTTAACATTTTGTGCTTTTGAAAAAAGATAAGTTTTAAGCCTCCTACATGGAAATATTCAAAGAAAAATCAAATTTTAACTACTTTTAAAAAGCGTGTATAATTACATACCAAATAAAAAAAGAAGGAAAAAGTAAAAATAATAACAATCAAATGCTAAAAGCTCCAACTCAAGAAACCAAAAGCAGTTCTCATTTTAGAGATGAGAGATGAATATCCAAATAAAAAATATATCAAAGGAAATTGCATCTTTCAGAGACGGAGTCATATGTAAAATGTTGCTAGAGTCCCTGGTCTTCCCAATGACAAAGTCTCAGGTAGGCCTGGGCACAACTAGGAAAGATGTCTTCACACAATCACTTGGTTCCGTAACCAGTTGCCATCATTTCCAACCAAATAGAAAAACACAGATAATAAATGAAACCATTGCCCGAGAGTGTGAAAAGACAAACCGTAAGACAGAATATTCGCATCTCAGTTCAAGACTTACCTCATAAGACCAGACACACTGAGTCCCACCAAAGCGCCGAACACATCTTCCCACTTCCACATCTTCGTGAGTCGTGTACATTTCTCTAAGGCATTCGCCAATGTGTGGCACCATCCTCCTGAGAACTTCTCGGCTGAAAATCATGCCAGGTCCACCCATACAGAAGTTCTCCCCAGGCTCCAGGCCCAGCTTTCCAAGTTCTTCAGTATTGCCCAAACCAGTCTGTCCCAGGTAGAGAGGTTTACTGCTATTCAGTGATCGCAGAAACTCTTCTAACTTATCACCTACAAAAAGAAAGGCAACAATCACTCCTTTTCCTAATTACGTAATCATGTATAATGCACAAAGTAACGCACAGAACTTCAATTAGACGCTCCATATGTCTTTCATATTAGAAAAGAAACGGCTTTCAAGACTCTTTATTTTCTAAAAAATTACAACGATTGAGTCATGATGAAATTTTATTAATTTCGGTGAAGAACACTGCAAAGCCTTCATGAGTCTCACCATCTCAGGTTTCTTGTTTTGTTTTGCAATCAAAGTAATGATAAAATTCCCCACAATATAAAATAACTATCATATTTAGCAATTGTTTGGCAGACTGTTGGTAGCCAGTAATTACTTTTCCTGATAATTTAGTTTAGTGCATTTTCCTTACCTAATAACTAGATATTAGTCATAGCATCCCCCAGCCCCCACCCCCCTCACCAAAAAAAATACTATCCAGAAACCTACTGCCTAAGTGTAGAGTGTGTTCTACACAAACGTATTTCAAGAAAAAGCTTTCTTGAAACTTAACTTTGGAAGACACTATTTGACACAAACTTGAACATTTTAGCTGATTTCAATGACAGCTTGTGAGTTTTTCAGGTAGCAATTTTTTTAACAGAAATGTGTGGCTAAAGCAGTTCAAAAGCATTCAGTATTCTGCACAGCAATACACTGGGATAAAGAGAGAAACACCTTCTTTGTATTCACAGTATCCTGTTGCATCTGCAGTCATTATCTGGATCACATGCCCTGCACCCTGGATACTAATGAATTTCAGTTGACTACAGGTTCTTAATACAAAGTGCATGTCGTTCTTAATAGACATGGAAAGAATATGACATTTCAGTGTTCCAGAGGACGATCATCCACAACACTGAGCAAATGACAGCAGTTAATGCCATTAATGCATTTTAGAAAGTCTCTTCAAAGTCTAACAAACGTCTGCTGAGAAACTTTTGCATGATTTTAATGAGAAGGAAAAACACACCAAAATCTTCATGGAAGTCCACCACCACCATCACTAACCCCGCCTTTGGCCAAAATCCTTAACCGTATGTATTAGTTATGCAACCGTTAAAAACTGTATTATTAATTATGCAATCATTAACAAACCATTATGTTTGTACCCAATTATCATTTACCAGGAATCCTGTGGTGATTGCTCTCCTCCCACCCCAAACCGAAGCAATCTATACCGTCACTGTTCTACCAAAGTGAGTCTTTGGAGTCTAGGAAAGATAGGATCTGGTTAAGGATGAAGTTAAGAGCCTCCAGGTAAAGAGACCTCAAGTAACCTGGGACTTCGTCCCACCCCTTGGATCTGGGAAAGTAAACCTCACTGAGAGAGCTCATCTAGGGTACAGCCGGCTATGTCCCTAGCAACTCTGACTACTGGTTGGCAAGGGAAGATTTTATTCCTTGGCTCTGGGGAGCTTCGCTTCGGCAGAGTTTAGAAATTCTCTGCCCAGGGCCGCCCACATTCAAGGGAACAGACCGCGGCTCTTTTAAAACCTACAAGAAAAGTTTTCTCATGCAGAGGCTGCTAGTGGTTCTGGGAGGAATTCCCAGCCTTCCGTTATCGCCAAAGCCACGGAGATGGAGGAGAGGAACTGAACTGACCCTAGTGCGAGCTTACACAGCTGGGAACTCCCAGGATCTTTCGCGCGAGCTTTTCCCTCTCCACCACCAGTTCCCATCCTCTAGGCAGGGCCTTTGCTGGGGTGGCTGCGGGTAGCTGGGCGTTGCACTGGGGCAGCGGAAAGGAGCTAATAAGCACTGGGGCACAGCGTGTGCCAGAAGGCTCCCAGTGCGTGGCAGCTCGCATTGAAAAGGGTAAGCACAGGGACGGCCAAAGCGATTCCTCGTCCAATTTCACCAATTCGAAATCAGTGCCAGATCTCATCAAAACAACACAGCAGCGGAATGAAGAAAGAAAACCAGATATCCAGTCTGGCTCGCCCTGGCAGCCTGAGCCTTCCCTTCCCCCACGCAGGACACACCCCTCTGGACCTCTTTAGGAAACTATTGCCACCACCGGCTTTCCAAGGAGCGCAGAGAGCGTGGCAACTGGCTTAGCCCTAGGGTCCCTCCCCACACGGAAAAGAAGCGTGGAAAGCGCTTCCCAGAAACCGAGGCAGCAAGAGTCCAGGAGGCTGGGCAGGTGTGAGGAGGATCCAGCCCTTGGGAGCAAAGGAGGGGAAGACAGGGAACGGTGGGCAGTTGTGAAGGGTGGGGACCACGCAAGCTGGGGTCTGCGGGAGCCCCGGAGCACGTGCTGGCCGACTGGCAGCGCCTGGGCTGGGCAGGGGCTGGGGCGGGTAACAGAGAAGGGAATGGGGTGGGGGTGGGATTAGGGTGGTGCACGCGGGACAACCGGCGCTAGGAGGTCACCTTTGATGTAGACATCGTCGTCCGCACGCATGAACCACTCATACTTGTCCAGGTAGTGGTCGTGCATGTACTTGATCATCATGAAGGACTTTTTCTGGGGCGGGTAGGAGTCGTCTACTCCGGGCAGCGCGATGACCGGCAAGGCTGGCGGGGGCTGGCCGAGCCCGGCGTCAGGCGGCTGCTGGCTGGAAAAGAACTCCACGCGGCCAGGAATGAAGCGCGCCCAAGTCCGCTGCGCCGCCAGCGCGCGACTGCCCAGGTACTTCTGCGCGGTCATCACCCCCACGTACAGGAAATCCCGGGGTCCGGCGCTCGGGGCGGCGGCTCCCCCA